CTCTGTCAATTTTAGGCTAATATTGTAGGATATAGAATTCTGGGCTGATAGTTGTTTTCTTCTAGGGCTTGCAAGACTTCACTGGCGCTCTCCTGAGCTTTCAGGTTTGCACTGAGCAGTCTGCACAATTCAGTGGGCCTGCCTGTGCCAACACGCCGTGTTCCTCTGACAGCTGTTAGTATTCGCTCCTCTCAGTGGATTTCTGGATGTTGGGTTACGTTTCAGTTCTTTTCCAGTTGTGGTTATTTACTTGAATATTGAACTTTTTCCCTAGATTTGGAAAATTTTCTGCAGTTATTTCCATGAATAAGTTTCTCATACCTTTGGGCCATCTTCTGATTTGTCCTTTATTCCTGTGATTCTGATGTTCTGTTTTTTAGTCACTTAGTGGGCATTAGGCCCAATTTGCATGGTGTCTTTTTTTTTTTTTTTTTTTTTTTTTGGCAGAACCAGGGATGGAACTCAGGCCCTTGTGCTTGCTAGGCAAGTGCTTATTCTACTGGGCCATCTCCCCGGCCCCAGTGTCTTATCTTTAGGGTGTCATTGAATTCTAGTCCTCTGTCCCCATATTTTGTCCAATCTGCTAGCCATGTTTTTTTTTTTTTTTTTCATGCTTTTCATTGAATTTTTCATACCTTGTATTTTTGCTTGCTTTCTCTCCATAATTGCTGATTCGTTACCAGACTGGTCAGTCATATCATATATTGTCGTGTTTAACTCAGTTTCTAGCTTAAACTCATTGAAAGTTTTATTAGTAAAATCCTTTATCTGTTTGAAAAACCTCCTCTGTAAGCTTTCAGATCTCATGAACTTGCTTATCGTTTCTTCTTTGAGCTGTTCAGACATCCTGACTGAAGCTTGGCTCTTGAATTTTTTGCCTGTGACTTCCAAGTTCAGTGCTTGTGAGATCATCTTTTGAGGAGCTGAGGGCTTTCTGAAATGTCCTGTCACCTTGCTTTGTTTTATTTCTAGTTTTTGTGATGCAGGTTAAAAAATCAGCTCCTGTAGGAAAGCTCTTGTCCCTGCTGTGGAGATGCCTGGGGAGCCTGTCTCGTGTGGTGCAGCTTCAGCGCTGTGTCTGTCTGTGTCTGGGCTCCTCTGTGCTCCCCACACCACACAGGGAGGAGAAACCATGACACAGGCAGCCTGGGTGCCAGCACTCAGCGAAGGCTGCGCCCAGCAGCAGTGTGCCACTACTGCATATCAGAGAGACCAGCAGTGACAAGAGTCCCAGCAGACTGGACACAGACAGGCCGGAAGGACCAGTGAGCTGCAGCTGTGTCCGCAGGAAGGAGACGACAGTGATAACGTAGACACAGACAGACCAGATAGTGGCGTAGAGCAGCCCATGCCCACCATGTGCGATGGCCGGGCCCTCAGCAGGAGGAAAGGATTTGGCAGGGATAGCATTTAGCCAACTCAGTATCTAAAAATCAGGGCCGGGAGATAGCTCAGTAGAGTAAGTACTTGCCTGGCAAACGCAGGGTCCTGAGTTCAATCCCTGCTACCGCAAAAAAAAAAATTAATTAAAAATAAATAAAAATCAGGGGCTTGCCCCTTAGCCCAGTTCTTTAAGAACCTGCTTAAACAGTCAGCTCAGATTGCTGTGGTTCGATCCCCAAACCTTCCCTGAAGGCATGCTTAGCCAGCCAAATAAATAAATAAATAAGTATCAGTAATGCTTAACTATAACATGGTAAAAGGGAAATGATGAGGGTGGGAGAAAAAAAGAAAGATGAGGAGGGGAGAAAAGTGAGAGAATCCTGTTAAAAATAGGTTAATAGAATTAGGTGAATGTAACAAAATAATAAGAAAAAGAATAAAACAAAGAGAAAAAAATAATAAAAGGAAAAATAAGTCCAAAAAAAAATTCCTGCCTGTGCTGGGTAAGTGGTTTCCTCGCAGCGCTGTGGCCTTTGAGTCCACCAGCTGTGGGGCAGGCAGAGAGACAGCGAGGCCTGTCTGTGCGCGTGCTCCCTGCCGCTGAGTCCTCCGCACCTTGCCTGCTGGGCGGGCGGCCCGGGCTGTGGGCTCTGCCTTAGGGTGGTCTTCACTCCCAGGCACTCAGGGGCTGAGTCTCTGTGCACCCTGAGTCACACCAGTGTCCCCCTCACTTGAAGGCTGTGGGCCTGTGAGGCGCTCCTTGCTCTAGTGGCTCCTCTGTCCAGACCCTGCAGTGTGGTGACCACTTGAGTCAAGGCATATCCCTGACCACGCTGGCAGACGAGGAAGCACACAGGCCCCTGACCCCCATGCTGGATGTGCGGTGGGTGCCACATGGCACTTTCAGAGCCAGCCCCCCAGAGGACCTCATGTCCCCAGTTTCTCATCATAGGGACAGGCCCACGGTGGCCCTCCCCACCCCAGTACACCGCTGCTTCCGCTTCTGGGGGAGGGGCCTCTAACTAGCCTACCTCCTTTCCCCAGCTCTGTTGTGGCCCTGTCGCACCCACCCACTGAGCTAGGGTGACCCCTGATACCCTCAAGCCCAGTTCTGTGACTGGCAGTTGCTGGCATTGTTCGACTTACAGTGATGAGCGCCTTCCCAGGGTAGCCTGATCAGCAGCTCCCAGGCTTGGTGGCGGCATCTCCCCTTGAGGTCCTTGCGCTTTGCAGTAACGTGGGCGGGCTTTGGGGACTAGCAGTGCTGTCAGCTGTCATCCTGGGGCTGCCAGCTCCCTCGCCCACCCGCCCTGGGCTGTGCTCAGCCATCCAGACTGCGCCTCTCCTCTCTCTGCTTTATCCCCAGTTTCTGCAGGTCCTCTGTGGTACCTGGTCTTCCCGTCAACTCTTTGATTCCCAGAGCTCTTCCTTTTCTTTGCTAAGTTGTTTTCCAGACATTTACATTCTAGGGTGAGCAATGAACTCTGATCAGAGTATGTACATTTAATTATTGAAACTTTGAAGTCTGTCCACTTAGTGAAGCCTCCTGTATCTGAGACAGCCCCCAGAAAAGCTTCGTGAGGGGCCTGGGTGAGTGTGTTCCGAGTCTGTGTGACGCTAGGGTTTACCTTGGGGCGGGAGCATCTCTTTCAGGTGACTCTGCCGCCTGCTTCTCTGGGAAAAGTGGGCCATGAGCCTGGTCCCATGAACCCCCAGCGAATTCCAGAGCGGGAGGCCACGGCAGTCTTCTCAGAGTGGCTTTTCCTGCTTCTCCAAGCTCCTGGGTAGGGAATGCATCATTAGCTGGACTGACCCAACAGAAGAGCAACGCCTGCAGTGTAGTCACCAGGCAGCTGACCCTGGGTGGGGTCGTGCTGTCCCTGGGTCCCGTCCACTGTTCTTTGTGAGCTGCCTCCAAGTCTGTGACGAAGGCGGGAGAGTGTGTGAGGCTGCCAGGCTGGGGTAGACATGCCGGAGACCACTCCGTTCCTCCACCTACACTCAGGCACGCTGCGCATTTGAGCTCCCAGCCTGCCATGCTGCAGGCCAGGCGCTGTCTGCAGAGGCCTCTTGGGCCCTCTTGTGGGGCTCCTCCTCCTGGCATCCTGCCTCTCAGAGGCTCTACTGCAGAGGGACAGTCAGGGCCCAGGGCCACAGTCTCCATGTGAGGTATGAAGAAGTCTTTCTGGACAATTCTTGGGTTTCTTAGAATTTTATTGTAGCAGGATTGTTAGCAGAAAATAGTCAACCCAAAGTTTGCCCTTCGTTGGCTTGCCTAGGTTTTTAAACTGTGTTTCTGTCTGCCAAGCTTAGTGGGGCAGGGAGGCTGAGGCAGGATGATCACAAATTCAAGCCCAACCTGAGCAACTTAGCAAGACCCTGTCTCAAAATGAAAACTAAAACAGGCCCAGGATATAGCTTATTGACTGGGCCCCAGGCCCATCCCAGGACCACCAAAATAACAAAGAAGTAAAAGGCTTGTGCCATCCCCACAAGCGCAAAGGAAGAAAATCTGACTGAATCCTGTTTACCTTCTTGAAGGTCACAGGTGGGATCAACTTGCATATTTTATCACTTTCTCTTTTTAAAGATGTTTTAACTGTCAGGCATGATAAATGTACAGAAAGTACTTCTGTTAGTTTTTAGTCACACAACAACATACCTGAGGCGGTAACTTCATGAAAGAGAAGTGGGCATCAGCTGTGGAGGCCCGAAGTCCAGATGGCAGACAGTGGCAGGGTGCGTGGGCAGCAGCGTGGCAGACAGTGGCAGGGTGCGTGGGGAGCAGCGTGGCCAGGATCACGCCTGTATCAGGAAGCGGAGAGGGGGGTCCAGGCTTGCTCTGCACACTCATGGGTCCTAGAGGGCACTTGGTGTCCCCAACCAGACAAGGGTCTTCCCAGCATCCCCAGCACCCCAGCAGTGCTGCCAGCCGAGGCCTATTGCTCCCGCCGAGGCTCAGGCTCAGAGTAGTGAGGTGCTGCAGCTGCAGCCTGACCGGTTCCCTTGGCCCGTCCACCCCAGCGTCCCCGCCGTCCAGGCTGCCTTCACCTCGGCACCCAACTCAGCGACAGCTTCAGCGTCTCCCACCCTCAGCGAGCCAGTAGCTTCAGTTCCACATCCACAGTGCAGAGGTTCTGTGTGGATCTTAACCAGGGTCCTTTGGGTAAGGAACCATCCCCACACTGCATCCCTGAAATAGACCAAAGGATGGGGGGAGAAGAGGCAAAAGGTGGCCAGCGTACCCAAGCCTTGAGTACCTATTGTGAACTCGGTTCCCATCTCTGCCAACAACAGACTGCTCAGGGCCTATTCTCATAGAGCTTCCGTAAAGGTAGGTGGAGACAGTGGTCTCACAGATACACAGGAAACAGCTGGTGACAAGTGCTTGTGCTAGGTGCTGACTTCAGGCTGGGTGGCAGAGCCAGTGGTACTGCTCTTGGGACGATAACAGAAGAGAAGTGGGCGGCTGTGGCTCACAGGCAAGGGAGCCTCAGTGCAAGGGCCCTGGGGCCTCTTCCTGTGTCCTCTGCTCACCAAGTAAGTCCCGGCATGCAGAGAAGGAGCCTGAGTGGCCTTCTGCATGCCCCTGGTGACTGCTGTTTCTGTCCCCGCAGCTCTATGTGTCTTCCGAGAGCCGCTTCAACACGCTGGCTGAGCTGGTTCACCACCACTCCACGGTGGCCGATGGGCTCATCACCACCCTGCACTACCCCGCACCCAAACGCAACAAGCCCACAGTCTATGGCGTGTCCCCCAACTACGACAAGTGGGAGATGGAACGCACGGACATCACCATGAAGCACAAGCTCGGTGGCGGCCAGTACGGGGAGGTGTACGAGGGTGTATGGAAGAAGTACAGCCTCACGGTGGCCGTGAAGACCCTGAAGGTGGGCCTCCAGGGTGTCCGGCGGTGGGGCACCCTTCTGTAAGCTGCCCACTGTGGCCACTCTCCTCCCCACCGGGCCGAGCTCCAGCTGTGTGTGTCTGCATGCAGGTGGGAGCTGCCAGGGGGTGGGGGCTGCAGTGTAGACCCCAGGCGTTAGCAGCAGGCGCCCCGCCCTGGCTATGCTGATTGTCTCCTCTCATTGCGAGGACACAATACCCAACACCCAAAGTTAAAGAAAGGTGTTTTTAACTCAGTTTGTGGAGATTTCACAAACTCCTCTGTAGGGCAGGGTGCAGAGGGCAGCCATTCATGGCTGTGGAAAACAGCAAACAGCCAAGGGCGGGTCAGCAGCTGTGGCAGCTAACCAGTCACTCTTCCCTCCTCACATTTGTATACAGATTATCTGCTCTGGGGCGAGGGTAGCACTCACACCCATAATCCAGCACTTGGATCAAGAACTGATCCCAGACTAGAGAAGCTGCCCCATGCCTGCGTGAGCTTTGGGGGGACACCCAGACACAAACCATAGCACTGGTAAAGCTGTGGGGCCCCTCTCCTGCTGCTCCTGGCTGCTCCTCCGCTGCCTGCCACGGGTTAGACAGGAGAAGTACACTCTCCTGTCCGAGTGCTGACAGCCCCGGTGGGCAGGTGTGTGGGGCCCAGGACCCGGGGCTTGCTCTCCCCTGCCGCTGCTGCAGACCCGCACTGGGATCCTCACCCTCCCAGCTCCAGTGCTGTGGTGTCCAGGCAGCTGAGCTTTGCTTTTAAAGCTCTTTGAAGTCAGCGCGGGTGCCAAGGAAGTTTTCATTCTGAACCATCTGCCTTCCTACTGGGACCAGGGCTCAGCCGTGGAGAGCACCCCACCACTGGCTATAAGTGAACGCAAGAGCCTGGCCTTTTTATAGCTGTTGGGAAAGAAAAGCTGAAACCTCCATTGCTGGGAAAATCAGGCCACACTGTGCATGTGGCCCCAAAGTCCATGGGGTATGTGTGTTGGGCCTGGTGCAGGCGGACTCTAGAGAGCCACAGCTCTGAGTGGTATCAAGGGGTGGGTCTAGAGCAAATTGCATTCTTGAGTTCTAGAGATCGTCAGTAGCTTCCCAAGGTGACATTGGCCTTTGGGCTGAGATGCTTTTGGTGGGGGTGGATGGCATGGCTGGTCACCTTGCGCTCTCCTGGCTGTTTTCCAGGTGGCATTTGTTTTCTAATATAGTAAATATTTGCAGAGCTCTTTGCTTCTGTTCGCTGGGTCTTGCACTCCTAGATGGTCTGAGAAGCAGACCGACTGACCGAGAGGGCTGCCCAGAGCATGACCCCAAAGGCCAGGGGAGAGGGGGACAGTGAGTCACAGTGGCATCACCTGGAAAATCAAGAGCCATTGCAGGACTTGGGGCTCCGGATGGACACGACTTTGTGCTGGTGCCACGAGACCGCCGTGTGGAGGAGCACTGGGGCCTGGCACTGTGTGTTGTCAGTGGTCACCGTGGTTTTGAGGTCCTGGCATTTCCTCCTTGTGCACCCAAGCTTTTTAACCATCTTCTGCCATTTCACACATGGGCAGTTGAGTTCCGATCTCCAGAAGAATGGAGCGAAACCAGAGGGCCAGGTCCAGTGCAGCCAGGACAGCACCGCAGCCCAGGCAGGGCCCGCTCGGCCCCCGCCAGAGCCTTTGGGCTGTGCTCTCAGGCCTCTCCCAGCAGCAAGGCTGCCGCTTGGAGGCTCCTTTGCGTGCAACCTCTCTTCAGTTTTCAAATGAGCCCTGCCTGCTACACGAGGTATAGCAATGCTCAAAGGATCAGAGCGCCCTGAAAAGAACAGCAGCCATCCCCAGTGACAGTGAGAACCTGAGTAGCCCCAGTGGTAACAGCCAAGTTCCCGTCGGGAGAGCCAGCATGACGTGCCCTCCAGGAGGACCCACAGCACCACCTTCCCCTCCCATTCTCCTCTTATGCTGTGGGCAGCAGCCCTCAGTGGGCCCTCCCACACCCCGCAACACACAGACCCAGTCAGCTGGGACTTCCTAGATGCCTGTCGGTCAGTCCACCAGCAGACTGGGAAAGCGGTCACAGCCCCGCTGCCACCTTGGTCAGCCCCACTGCCTGGCCATTCACGGTCTCCCTGGAGCAGGTTGTTGCCTGCCTGTCAAGCTTTCTGTTCACTTGGGAGATGGAGAACTTGGGCTCCGAATGACGCCGATGTCTCACCTCCTGTGCGCTCCGCGGGCCTGGCAGTTGTGAGTGTGCATTCTGCGTGGCGCCATTCAGTCCTTGGTGGGTGAGAAAAGGGCACTGAGCTATCTGCAGCCTGCGCCCTACAGGGAAAGGGAGGAGCCAGGGCTCAACCCAGCTACCAGCGCCAAGGTCCCCAGGCTCCTGTTCCTCAAACACTGAAAATGCACCCGGCATCGCCACCTCCAGGCCTGCTGTCCTCCCCCGGGCCTGTCCGGCTCTGCTGGCCTCTGCGCTGCTCGCCCTGCAGCTCCTCAACAGCCAGCGACATGCCCCGCTCATAGCCAGTGACCGCAGTCGACCCTGTGGAGGCCTGTGGGCTGGAGCTGCTCCGGAGGCCGCCAGGCAGGCCGAGCCTGGAGAACTGCTGCCAAGTAGAAGAAGCTGCACATTTTAAATGAGCTGTGCTCCAGACGTTTGCGACTTTTCTCTCTGTGAAACTCCCTGAGTTTTGCAAGTTGTAACGAGAGCACTGTTGATCTAGTTGTGGCATTAACGTTGACTCATGAGCTCAAGCAAATGTACTGCGAACAAGAAAATAACCGAATTCCTGAACAGGCAGAGTACGCACCAGGGGCCGCCCGGCCCTCACTCCTTGATGCCTGTGCTTGTGGTCTTGACTGTACCCCTTGCCAGGCCTGGGGACCGGGCCTGTTTACTCCCACAATGAACTGTTTTGGTTTTCATTTGACTATTTTTCTCTCAGAAAAGTGGTTTCACTGGGGAATCTAGAAGCTGGTAGGAAAGGAGGGCATGGTCATGCTGGCTGTCCTAGGAAGCAGCCCAGCCTGGAGAGGCCCCGCGACTATGACCAGCCTGCTGCTGCGTGGCCCTGGAGCACCCTAGGTACCTTTGGGAAGTGATTTCCCACAGGCTCTTGCCACAAGTCCAAGTCCCTTCTAGTTTGTGAACTGCTCCCTGGTCCTGCTAAAACTGCCCCTTCACTCTTGCGCTTCCGGTCACAGTGCATCTGCTCCCTCTGATGGTGAAGGCAGGTACTGCATGTGCTGGAGCCTCACTCCCTAGCTCACGCAGTGAAAGCCCCAGGCTGCTGTGGAAACCCGCGAGGGAGCCAGGAATACAGCACAGCAGCGTGAGGACCTGCCCGGCAGGCGCAAAGTCCTGGGTTCAGTCCCTGGTACAAAAAAAGAAAAAGCAAAACTTCACAAAAGCCTCCCTTCAGGGCTGTATTTCATGCCGAGAAGGAGGTCCTCAGAAAACAGCCATTTCTAAATCATGACCCTTGGGCTGGGGCGATAGCTTGGCTGTCTAAGTGCCTGCCTGGCAAGCACGAGGACCCAGGTTCCCCCAGTACTACATGCTGTGCTGGCCCCGGAACCCCAGGCACACAGTGCTAGCCACCAGAACCGGACCTGGTGGTGCATGCCTATAATCCCAGCTCTGGGAAACTGGGACAGGAGGATCGCACGAACCTGAGCTGCATGGCAAGACCCTGTACCACATACGTACATAAGTGGGTTTTTTTTAATGTAAAAAAATATTTCTTTTATAGGGCTGAGGCTATATCTCAATGTAAAGGCCCTAGATTTGTACTGTAAAGGAGAATGAGAGCCAAGAGAGGAGGGAAGAAAGGAGGGGAGTAGATTTAGAGTTGCCAGGGTCACACAGCACCGGGGCAAGTCAGTCTGCACCGCTGTCCCGGCCGGCCGGCCCTGTGAACAGCCCTGTCACCCCACCTCTTCCCCAGCAGGCAGCTGAATGCAGCTTTCCCTTAGAGTGTTTCCTCTACCCTCACTCATCTGACTGAGTTTCACTTTACTCTGCAAGTAGAAGAATCCTCTCCCTAAGGACGATGGAAGCTGGGCAGTCCTGGCTGCTGCGGAGCCTGAGGCAGGAGGGCCCAGAGTTTGCAAGCAGCCCAAGTAACTTAGCATGACCCTGGCTTCAATTTCAGAGCAGGTGGGGCGCTGCTGGGCTGTTGCTCAGGGGTAGAGCAGCCCCACAGCCCTGGCTGCCAGCACCCCCAAAAGTCTTTTGTAGTGAGAGCACAGGATGCATGGCGGTGTTTCCCATCAGCTGGCCATCGGTTGTGGTCACTGTTACTCATTTAAGTGATAAAGTGAACCATGTTTGATTCCAGCAGGGGGAGACAGATTCACAGTGATTTTCTGAAAGAATGAAACAAGAAATAAAGTCCTCTGTGTGCACATGTGTGTGTGGAGGGCCAGACGGATAGAAGAGGGACGCTCTGAAAGCCTTGCTGTTGCTTCTGCAAACGTGTGCGTCCTCAGACCTTTCTAACATGGACAGGACAGAGGCAGTCGCTGTAAAAGCAGTTGATGCTGCTGAATTGGCTTCTGTGTGTTTTGTTGTATGGTGCTTTAAAAACAAAGGCTGTTCTTGTCTAGAAAGTGTCATTCTGGGGTGATTTTGTGACACATGGCTGGCCAAGGAGGGTTCTGAAAGCCCAGTCCCGCCCCCCTGTCCTGCGCAGGCGCAGCCCTGGGTACCTCGATCCTGGCGGGCACAGCCCTCCAATCCTTGGTGTTAAGTGTGTCACCCTGCAGAATAGAGCACTGCACCCCGACCAGCAAAGGGGCCTGGGAAAACAGGCAGGCGGCGGGGTGGTAGCAGGAGTGAGCTCACCTAAACGGCAGAGTTGGCCTTAAGCGGGTTGGCCATCTTGGAAGAGCAGTAAATTGCCTCTGGGTCTCGGCCTCCCTGGGCCCTGAGCTAAGTGATAATGGGCTGACGCACGTCCTCATTACATGCTTCACTTGCGGATGTGATTGACCAGAGCAGGCAGGCTCCAGGGAGAGGCTGGCCTGTCCTCGGGAGGTCCGTCCCCATCATGGCAAGGACTCAGCAGTCCTAGCAAGGGGACCGTGAGGGCACTGAAGTGTCAGGTGCAGCATTTGAGGTTCTGCTTTCACAGAAAGTCTGGTAGCGAGTACCTCATAAGGAGCCTGACTTTCAAGAGGCCAATTCCTTGCAGGGTGTGATAGTGCATTCCTGGAATCGCAGCTCTTTCGGAGGCTTCGAGCCCAGCCTGGGCAACTTAGTGATTTAACAGATGCTGTCTGAAAAATAAAAACTTAAAAAGAGCTAGGGCTTGTAGGTCAGTGTGAAAGCCCTGGGTTTAACCCCTCAAAACACACAAAACCGAACACAACCCCCTCACCAAAAAGACATCCTTCCCAACCCTCACACGATCTCTCTGCATACAAACCCAGGCTTCGTGTGGGAATGGGGCAGGCGTGCATCCTCCTTCACCTCCACGGCCACCTCTCTGGTTCTCGTGGTTGGGTCGGAAGCTTCAGATGTAAGGCCCAGCACAGACTCTGTGACAGGACCCTCCGCCACACAGACCCAAATCTGGAGTGCTCCAGGGGGTGGAAAAGCAGTGCCCCGTGTGCAGTGGCTTCACCCTCCGCCTGCCCTCTTGACATAAGTGCGGTGGGCTCGAGGGTCATGAGGAAGCTGCTGCTGAGGCTCACTGGGAGCCTAGTGCTGGTCGACCCCACGCATGGCTGCTGCTTCCTTTGGGGCCAGTCACACTCACACCCACACTCCTGCTTTTGTGTGAGCAGTTCAGTGACCTCTGTTCTGCCACATTGCAACATGGTATTCTTTGGGGTTATGGTACACCCCCTTCCCCCGCCACCACCATCAGGGTCTTTCCATAAGTCACATGCACTCCAGGTTCACAGAGTCAGCTTTTTCTTTCTGTTAAGTAAGTTAGGACTCTGGGAGCCCGGGCAGTCATGGGGAAGTGGAGTCACATTGGAGTCCACATGTCACCCCCAATCCCAAACAGTGCATTGCAGCCACCGGAAGTCACCAGAACATGCCAGCCAGTGTGGACCAGAGGGAACATCACCTGTCATGGACCCTGTCTGGAGCAGTGCCACAGCAGAAGGTGGCTGGACTCCAGCTGCCCCTGCCTGCACACTGCTTGCTGAGCTCATCTCGTCCATCTCCTTCCTTCTGCAGGAGGACACCATGGAGGTAGAAGAGTTCCTGAAAGAGGCTGCGGTCATGAAGGAGATCAAGCACCCTAATCTGGTTCAGTTGCTCGGTAAGTCAGTGCCATACTCAGGAGGGAAACCCGGACCACACCCAGGGGCCTGGAGGCCACAAGGAAGCCGAGGGTGGCCCGACCTGGACCAGACATGCGCTCTGCTCCCCCAGTGCCAGCAGTTGGTGACGGGGACCTGCGTGGGCTGGGCTGGGGGCAGTGGAGACTTAAGAGCTGCCTGGTGCACCTTGAAGATGGGCTTCGGGGGCTGAGACGTGGCCTGCAGGCACCGCCACCTGGGGTCACCTGGTGTGGAGCTGGCCTTTGCCTGTGTCCAGTGACGGCCTCTCCCCATGTACATTCAAGACCCCAGGCTTGAGAGGAAAGGGGTGTAGCCGTGCTTCCCACAACAGCACACGAAACCAGGTGCTCGGAACCACAGTAACAGTCGGGCCTGTCATGGGCTGCAGGAACGTGTGTCACCAGGGCTTCTGCGCTTGGGCAGAGCCACTGCTGAAGCCTGTGTCCGCACAGGGGTCTGCACACGGGAGCCCCCATTCTACATAATCACTGAGTTCATGACCTATGGGAACCTGCTGGACTACCTGCGGGAGTGTAACCGGCAGGAGGTGACTGCCGTGGTGCTGCTCTACATGGCCACGCAGATCTCCTCGGCCATGGAGTACCTGGAGAAGAAGAACTTCATCCACAGGTAGGCCAGCTCCTCGGGTTCATGCGGCGACAAGGTGCACGCTGGGGTGCCGCTGCTCGGGGTGCGGCTGCTCAGGCTGCACCCACCTGAGCCCTCTGAGAGTGCAGCATTAGGTGGCGCTCTTGAGAGGCAGCCTTCAGTAATCCCAGCCCCTCGAAGAGTGCGCGCTGCCCGGGCGGCTGCCGCTGCCGCCCACCGCTGCCACCCGCTTCCCGGGAGCATCTGGCGGGGCTTCTGCGCAGGCTCATGGTAACAACCATTGCGTGGATTTCATTCTCAAAGCATATGATTTTTCTTCCTCCCTTCTCTTTATAATCATTTCGTTGTCCACTCCACTTGCTGTCATGTGGTCTAGGGATGTGTCTCTCCCTGATTGTCAGAATTGTAGATGGGTATGCGGGCTAAATGGTGCTTCTGTCCTCAAGGCCTGGAGTGCTTTGACCTTCAAACGTGCAGCAATTACCTCGGTCCTTGCATGTTTTGCAGGTAGAAGTGGCTTCCTAGCAAAGTGCTGGCCAGCACAGGACAGAGCCTGCTGTGCTCTGCCAAAGTCTGTTACGCAAGACATTCTAACCCAAGCACAACAGCTGTGCAGGAGACCTGGGGCAAGGGATAAGAGCAGCCCTGTGAGATGCTGTGGCCCTGGGAAGGCAGATTCTCCATGCTCCGCAAGGCCTGGGCGAGGGACTCCCATCACTCACCACCCTGGAGCCCTGGAGCTGTAAATTGAGATTTCCCAGCTCTGGCTGGCCACCCCTCTCCGTTCAGGCAGATTGGTGTTTTCCCGAAATCCTATTAGGCCAGCTCTTCTGTGTTTAATTCTCTCTCATTGCTGGTGATCAGGCTGTCTCGCATAAGCAGCTTCCCCCACTCAGGTGGGCCTTGTGATTTCATGGTTAATGTCCCCAAAGCAACATGAGATCCCTGCCTCACTGGGAGAGGTGGGCTCAAGGATAGCAGGTTGTGCAGTGGGGGTGTTCAGAGTATGTTTGGGGGGCATCCGGAAGAGGGGTAAAGGAGGCCACAGCTGGGGTACACAGGCTGGTGTCTTGCAGTCTCAAGGCTTGGGCTGTGCATGTGGTCCCCCCACCTGTCAGAGTGTGACAGCAACCATACTGACCCTGGCTGAGACTGTCCTTAGGCATTGGTGGAAGTCACTCCCCACCACCACCTCTCAGGGACAGGTGCTGTCATTGTCACTGTCATCCTGTGGATGGGTCTCTGGGTCCCAAGTCACTGGCTTAGGTCCCGGGCCAGGGATGCTCCTCCAGTGCCCCTCTGCTGCCTGCCCCGTGGCTGGGGCTTGGGCTTTCACCTCGTGGCCTTGACGCAGGGTGCCAGCTGGGAGTGCTCACGAGGAGCTTCCTTCCTTCCTTCCTTCCTTCCTTCCTTCCTTCCTTCCTTCCCAGGGATCTTGCTGCCCGAAACTGCCTGGTTGGGGAAAACCACTTGGTGAAGGTGGCAGACTTCGGCCTGAGCCGCTTGATGACGGGGGACACCTACACGGCCCATGCTGGAGCCAAGTTCCCCATCAAATGGACTGCGCCCGAGAGCCTGGCCTACAACAAGTTCTCCATCAAGTCTGACGTCTGGGGTAAGGGCTGCTGCCGCAGGAGGCCAGGCCAGCCTAGCGTGCACGCACACACGCACGCACACACGCACGTGCGTATCCTCGCCTCCTGCTTGTTTCTCCATTTCTTGTGCCGCATTAAGTTAGCCTTGGTATTTTCCTTTTCTCTCATTCCAAAATCCTCTCTCCTGTTTTTGTTTTTTGTTTTATTTTTTTCTTAAATGAAGTAAAAGTGTACTTTTTCTTTCTGAATAATCCAGAATAATTCATTTACTTATTTATTTATTTATTTTTGCGGAACTGGGGATTGAACTCAGCCCCTTGTGCTTGCTAGGCAAGCGCTTATTATCTCCCCGACCCCTAATTTACTTTTTTTCTTTTTTTGCTCCGAGTGCCCTCAGGGCAGGTTTGGCTGGCTTGAGTTGTGGGGATCGAAACCACAGCAACCTAACGCTGACAGCTTTGTTGAAGCAGCCACTTAAAGAGCTGAGCTAAGGGGCAGGCCCCCTAATTTACTTATCTTAATGTATCATTCTTTTTCTTTCTGTTCTGAAATACAGTCTCACTGTGTAGCCCAGGCTGGCCTCAAACCAGCAGTCTCCTGCCTCAGCCTCCCAGGTGCTGTCATTGGCATCTGGATGCCCCTGTTCTGAGGCTGCTGCTTGGATTTGCTGAGACAGCTGGCCAGCCCCGCAGGCACCCGAGTCCCCCTCCGGGCTGGGTGTGCTGCTTGCTTTGGCTTAGCCCTTAAGCAGGACACTCCTTTCTGAGATCTCATGTGACAGTTTGTTTTTATTTTTTAAAGGACTTTTCATTATGGCAAGTTATAAGCGTAAGAAGGTAGAGCTGTATAAGGAGCCCGCATGCCCAGCACCCCGCCTTAGTAATCCTCTGCTCCTGGCAGTCTCCACCCCCCCCACCCCCGCCTACTCCCTGGACCCATTTTATTTTGAAGGGAATCCAGGGTATCCTATTATTCTGCATGTAAAAGTTTCAACATGAGTCTCCCACAGAGGAATGACATTTCCAGCACAGCCACACTCCTACCCCAGATTTGGTGGTAGTTTCTGAACCACCGATGGTATAAATGGATCTAATCAGTTTATCAGTCTCCTTAATAATAAAATTAATAGAAAGTCTATAAATGGATGAAGTCTAGTTAGTTATGTGAATAATCATTATCCAAATATAAATATTAACACTATTCTTAAGATTAAAAATGACTATAATCACTAAATTTCATTAAAATACTATGTTTCTGAATTTAAGACATTTTATATATAAAGGTGACCAGTATGTGCAGAGTATGCACAACATTGTGATGCATGTGGCTTTTTCTTCGGCCCTTGTGGCACCTGTGTTTTCAGGTAGTCACGCATGTGCCGCAGGTGGACGCTGGACCCCAAGTCAGAGCCACCTGTGGTGACATGCGCCGTTCTCTTCGACCCGTAAGTTCTTTCTCCATCTTTGTTTCCCTTGCAATTTGTTTGCTGAGACCTCCCTGTCACGTGTCCGCTAGCATCCCCCATATCCTGTGTTCTGCCCGTCGTGTGTCCTCGCTCTGATCTTGTGCCGCTGGCTTCAGCGTTCAGATCGCGCTGGCCTGATCACATTCCAGCTGACTTTTCTTTCACTAAGGTAAAGAAGAGATGTGTACTTGGGTTAAAAATATATAATGCCTGGCCGGGCATGGTGGCCCACGTGCATGTAACCCAAGTACTCAGGAGGCTGAGGCAGGAGGATCACTGTGAATTCAAGGCTCGCCTGGGCTACAAAGTGAGTTCACGGCCAGCCTGAACTGCAGAGTGAAAGATTCTGTCTCAGGAAACAAAAAAGGTTTTGCTTGGTATCATGCTTGATTTCCTCCAAGGTGGGGTGTGTGTGTGTGTGTGTGTGTGTGTGTGTGTTCGTTCTACAGCTGTTGAAACCTGGTGCCTACATCCATAGTTTCCCAGGGCGTGCCCTGTGGTAATTCTCAATTCTGTGTTTCCTTATTCATTTGGTAATGGAACAATGGAAAAAGAAGGTTCCTCTCGTCTGTCACCCAGTGGTGCCGCCCATGTAGGAAAGGCAGGGTACGTGCTTGCTCCTCACTTTGCACTTTCCTAAGTAACCAGTGGTGACCAGTTAGGCTTTTGTCGTCTTTGTGGTGTCGTGAAGGACCCTTGGATGGAAACATCTGGGCATGTTTGCATGTACCGCTGCTGTTCTTGTTGCTGTCTCAGCGTTGGCTAGTGGGCACTTAGCTCCTAGGCCCATGGACAGTGCGGCCACTTCCATGGCTCTAGAGTGACCAGACAGTCCAGGTTCATTCCCTGCCCTAGCCCTAGTCTTCTGGTTCTCCAAGGGGTCTGGGCTTTGTCCATGGAAGTGGGATTTCCAGGTCATAATCTGGATTTCAAATGTTGACAGATTTCGTGCGCCTTTTATGAGGTATTTAGAGTCCAGGGAGCCTTACAGATAATCTTGTGCACCCAGAAACCGGGGGTGCCCTGCTCTCAGCTAGCTGAGCGGAACAGTGTCTGACTTCCGCCATATAGCCCAGCAAGACGGGCTCTTTCCTGAAAGGGGCTGGCAGTCCCGTAGCAGCCAAGATGTCCTCTCGCTCTCGGGGCCTTCTGGCTGCAAAGGGAAGAAACTGGCAGTCTCACTGGTTAATGTCACTACAGCGGCTGCTTCTGCGGAACAGCTCCTGTGTCTGCGGCCCAGCCAGCCGGTTTTCATTACAGTGTATTAAACCCTCTCCACTCCCCACCCTTCCTTTTTCTTTCAGCATTTGGAGTGCTGCTTTGGGAGATTGCTACCTATGGCATGTCCCCTTACCCAGGAATTGACCTGTCCCAGGTGTATGAGCTGCTGGAGAAAGACTACCGCATGGAGCGCCCGGAGGGCTGCCCGGAGAAGGTCTACGAACTCATGCGCGCATGTGAGCTCCCCGCTCGGGCCTTGTGGGGCACGGCGCCCCGCAAGGCCCGCCGTGCAGCTTTCAGACAGTCTGATACACGCTTTTCAGCCTTTTTCAGTGCATCTATGTACCTGTGCACATAAGCAGTCTATACATGAGTTGTTTTGGTTTCATTTTTAAGCAAAAATTGGATAGGCCCCAAACCTGGCCTCCTTATTGATTGATTTCCAGCCCCTCCCTCCAGACGTACTGCTGTAGTCGCGGTTATCTAGTCGGTTTCACGTGCCCGCCCATGTGTGTGCATGTGGAGGCATTTCTGTTACGTACTTCCCAGGCACCCATGTGGTTTACAGTCTTTATGTCACTGTGCCTCAGCCTTTTCCACGCAGCAGTGTGGCAGCGGCCCTCTGGTGTGCACAGATTCAGGTCTGCGTCACACCACGTAGTTTACGTAGCTCCCAAACCCGCAGCGATGCACTGCCCCTGCCCGTCTTTTTGGCATGTTTGGTGGCTTCGCGCGCTTGTTGATTTTTGCCACCACAAGCAAGTGTCCTTCCCCGCAGACATCTGCGTGGTATCCTGGCTTTTCTACAGGCTCAGCTGCGGCTAAAAGTAACTTCGTTCTAGGCTTTGAGAACATTTGCCACAGCTCAGCTTCCGGAGCAGGTCATGCCCCCCGCCCCCCGTCAGAAGTGTCCCGTGATGCTCACCCGAAGCCCTGGGGGTCTTCAGCTCGCTTCACCTTCGTTTTAGCTTCATTTAATTAGCATTTCCCTTGTCTGAAGATTCTACACTTCGGTAGCCACCAAGTAGGGGCGAGGTGAAAACAAGCTACATGGCTGTGAGCTCTGTGCGCCTGCTGGAGTAGGGCTGGGAAAAGGGCTTATAGACCGGCTTCGCTTCCGTGTCTCCCTGGAGTTTGCAGTTCACATTTCTGCTAGTGTGTCATGTGTTTTCAAAGCCTTCATGTGGGTGCTAGGTCACATTGGCATGTGTCATCCTAACCTGTCACAGTGCAAGGTGTCCACAGGCTGGGATGCCTCTGGTTTCTGGGCCGCACCTTGGGAGCTGTTGCCACAACTTGTGTGGCAAGGTCTTGTGCAGATGTCTGATTTGTCCTTGTCTGTCCAGGTTGGCAGTGGAATCCCTCCGACCGGCCTTCCTTTGCTGAAATCCACCAGGCCTTTGAAACCATGTTCCAGGAATCCAGTATCTCAGATGGTAAAGTGCACCCCTGGGGCGCCTGCAGGGTGCAGGGTTGCATGGGGCGCCCATGCGGAGCCCCAGCCTGGGCCTTCAGCTCACTCCTAGTAGAAGCACAGTTGCCCCAAGTTGCCTCAGATCAGAAAGGGGGCAGAGGTGTTGGGCTCACTGCCTTTGGTGGCCTTGCAGAGTTCTGGAAAAGGCTAAGTGTCTTTTCTTCAGCGTCCACTGCAGCTGTATTGTCGCCCACTGTTATCTTAAAAAGACAGAGGACCTATTCCAAGCCAAGACCATCACTGACAGCCACTGGGCTCTGTGTTTGTTGTTCTCAGAAGTGGAAAAGGAGCTGGGTAAACAAGGTGTGCGAGGGGCTGTGAGCACCTTGCTGCAGGCCCCAGAGCTGCCCACCAAGACGAGGACCTCCAGGAGAGCAGCCGAGCACAGAGATGCCCCCGACGTGCCTGAAGCACCTCACTCCAAGGGCCAGGGAGAGAACGGTATGTTCCCCGCCATCCAGGCTGCGAGCGGCTGTGGTGAGAACACTGCCTTGGGCCCCAACCCCTTCCCAGGAGCCCCTGGTGCCGTGCGTTGCTTCAGCAGGGAGCACAGCCTCGCACCCTCACCCTCTCCTCCATCTCAGCACGTGTGGATCTTCCAGGCTCCTACCGAACTCTAGGCCACGCAGAGCAGCTGCTGTGAGGCACTGACTCAGGGAGCCAGTGGGACCCCCAGACACCAGCGGGTGTCCTCTGCTTGTCGGGCAGTGTGCTCCCAGGGCTCCCCTGGTGGGCATAAGGGTGGGAGCGATGGAGTAGCTCAGCAGGGGCCACGAGCTACCTCTGAGGTGGTATTCATTCCCCCACCTCTGTCTGGTACATCCTGCCTGCCAGGCTCTGCCGTGAGTTAGCAGTGTCCCCAGACCAGCAGCCTGGATTCTTCCACCGACCAGCTGAGCAGAAGCTTTAGAGGGTGGTGAGCAGGACACTAATGGGCTGCAGCCTGGGTCAGGCAAGGGGTGGCAAGGCCAGGTTTGGGTGGAGGTGCCACGGAGTGGCACGGGCAGCCTGCATCACACGCACGTGTAAGCACACACAGACCCGGATCGCTGGAGTGAGTGCAGCACTCACACTGTGGGGGCGTGCGTGTGCTGGGACTGCACATGTGGGATCACGTAAGTATGCCAAAGCACACGTGCAGACTCCTCAAAGAAACGTGCCCTGGTTGTACTGTGTTCTTTCCACGCCCCACTGGCCTTCCTTACCCCAGCCTTGGAGGCTCTGGCAGATGGATGGTCCGAGGCCTGTACCCCTTCACCCTTCTGTTAGGGTTGCAGTTTGGGGTTGTTGGCTGAGCTTACAAAAAGCCCAGTGGATGGGAGCCATGGCCATGTGCGCCAGCAGGACTCAGCAGAGGGGTGCGGTGAGGTGTGGTCACCTGAAGGGCCGGGAGGGTCCTGCCCTGCATGGCCTGTGGATCCCCCACCAGAGCTCCCCTGCCTTTGCCTGTGTCCCCTGATTAAAGCTGGGGAGTGGTTGGCCTTCCTGGTCTCTTGGCCCCTCTGCCCAGCCAGTCCTCTACAGGAATTCTGTCATCCACTGGAGGGACCTGACAGCCCTGAAAGATGTCACAGGCACACCTATTCATATTGAAAGAGCGCCCTTTTCAAAGGTCCCCTTTTGCTTCGACAGGATGGCCTGTTGCCACAGCCCTGAGGCTCGGCCTCCTCCCTCCATGTTACTCCTCTTGAGAGCTGCGAGTGGCCTGGTGTAACACGTTGTAGGACCTTGTAGCTTGAGCGCACCACGTCAGGGGCAGGGGCAGGTGTAGTCAGGGCGGTGTGGTCATAGCCCCCAGTTGGGTAAGCAGCTGGGCCATCCAGCTTTCTGCCCCACTTCTTCAGGGGATGGGACTCGAGCTGGCCCTAATACAGCTGCACTTCCCAGCCCAGGGACACCGAGAAGCCTGCGGGCTGTGGTGGGGACCTCACGCACCCTACCACAGCCACCCTCATCCCCCGCAAGAGCAGAGGCGGGTGCAGGGAGGTCATCTGCCCCATGCACAGTGGGTGGTGCAGCAGACCTCGCCCCAGCCCCTTCGGTCCCAAGCCCCTGACGCCCATCTGTGCAGCTCACCCCGCCCACTGTGTTTCAGATGCCCTGGACCACGAGCCTGCTGTGTCTCCGCTGCTCCCCCGAAAAGAGCGAGGTGCGCCAGACGGAGGCCTCACGGAAGACGAACGCCTCCTTCCCAAAGATAAAAAGACCAACCTGTTCAGTGCCTTGATCAAGAAGAAGAAGAAGATGGCCCCAACCCCGCCCAAACGCAGCAGTTCCTTCCGGGACGTGGACGGCCAGTCTGAGCGCCGGGGGCTGGGCGAGGAGGATGGCCGAGAGCTCAACGGGGCCCCGGCGCTCGCCGCCCCCGATGCTTCTGAGCCCACCAAGTCACCAAGGCCTAGCAATGGAGCTGGCATCCCCAACGGAGCCTTCCGGGAATCGGGGGGCTCGGGCTTCCGTTCTCCTCACCTGTGGAAAAAGTCCAGCACGCTGACCAGCAGCCGCTTAGCAGCCGGTGAGGAGGAGGGCGGCGGCAGCACCAGCAAGCGCTTCCTGCGCTCTTGCTCTGCCTCCTGTGTGCCGCATGGGGCCAAGGACCCCGAGTGGAGGGCCGTCACTCTGCCACGGGACCTGCAGTCCACCGGGAGGCAGTTTGACTCATCCACCTTCGGAGGGCACAAGAGCGAGAAGCCAGCGCTGCCGCGGAAGCGCGCAAGCGAGAACAGGCCCGATCAGGTGGCCCGGGGCACGGTGACGCCCCCGCCCAGGCTGGTGAAGAAAGGAGAAGACGCTGCTGATGAGGTGTTCAAGGACGCCCCAGAGTGCAGCCCAGGCTCCAGCCCCCCCAGCCTGACCCCCAAGCTCCTCCGCCGGCAGGTGGCGATGGCCCCATCTGCTGGCCTTGCCCACAAGGAAGAGTCCGGCAAGGGCAGTGCCTTAGGGACCCCGACGGCTGCCGAGCCAGGGCCCCCCACCAACAGGGTGGGGGGAGGCACCCCTGGGGGCCCTGGCAAAGGCCCTGCCGAGGAACCCAGGGTGAGGCGGCACAAGCACCCCTCCGAGTCCCCAGGCAGAGATAAGGGGCGGCTGTCCAAGCTTAAACCCGCGCCCCCACCCCCGCCAGCCTCTGCAGGGAAGGCAGGGAAGACCTCACAGAGCCCAGGCCAGGAGACCACTGGGGAGGGCAGCACAAAAGCAAAGCCCACAGCGCTGGCTGTGGATGCTGTGAACGCCGACACCACCAAGCCAGGCCAGCTGGCGGAGGGCCTCAAAAAACCGGTGGTCCCATCCGGGCCCAAGCCACAGTCGGCTCCCAAGGCACCGGGGACCCCTACCAGCCCGACACCCGCTCCCTCCTTGCTGCCAGCGGCACCCTCGAGCCTGGCAGGAGACCAGCCTTCCTCCACTGCCTTTGTCCCCCTCATATCTACCCGTGTGTCGCTCCGTAAAACCCGCCAGCCCCCGGAGCGGATCGCCAGTGGGGCAGTCACGAAAGGCATGGTCCTGGACAGCACGGAGGCGCTGTGCCTCGCCATCTCCCGGAACTCGGAGCAGATGGCCAGCCACAGCGCGGTGCTAGAGGCCGGCAAGAACCTTTACACGTTCTGCGTGAGCTATGTGGACTCCATCCAGCAGATGAGAAACAAGTTCGCCTTCCGAGAGGCCATCAACAAACTGGAGAACAATCTCCGGGAGCTGCAGATCTGCCCAGCGACTGCAGGCAGTGGCCCTGCGGCCACTCAGGACTTCAGCAAGCTGCTGAGCTCTGTGAAGGAGATCAGTGACATCGTCCAGAGGTAGCAAAAGCCAGGACGCACCAGCTGGAGCTGCCTGCAGCCCGAGAGGGCTCACCCCTGCCTGTGGCGGTGGCTGACCAAGGACCCTGAGCTGGCACCTCGGCCCAGGGCTCGGCGCTGTGGATGCAGCCCTACTACCTACGCTGCGAGTGGCCGTCTCCTGCCCCTCCTCAGCCACCCTGTCCTTACCATGCATCTGGAGTTCCAGCTCTTGACTGTGCTCAGCTGACCGGAGCCACCAGCCTTGGCCCCGCCAGGCGCCATGGACGGAGATCGCTGGAGCCAGCCAGCGGGGACTGTTGCCCTTCTGTTCCTGTCCGGAGCCCCTCCTCCGGCTGTGCCTTCTGTGTCACACCTCCACCCTGGTGAGGGAGCCCCCCAAGTGCACTGTCCTTGCACCTTCCCACTGACAACCCTGATGGGGAGCCCCTTCCTAGGAAGGCTGTGCCCACCACTGCCCCTGCTTGTCATTCCTGGCCTTGTGCCCACCCCAGGCAGGTGCTCTTGCCGGCTCCTCACCTGAAGATGCTGATGGTTTGAGGGGAGTGCATGGCGAAGAACCAGCCAGCGTCCAGGGCCCATACCTCAGCCCGTGCTCTCCTAATGTGTGCTGCAAATTGGGGCATCGGGGGCCACCGAGGCCCGGCTCTCCACCTGGCTCCCCCTCTCCCCAAGGACTGCACAGGTGCTTCCGGACCACCCTGTGACACGACAGCTTCTGGCCGAAGCCCTGCCGTGGGGCCACACGCATCAGGAGGAGCATCTTTGAACTGCACGGATGTCTTGGCTTTCATCACAGGAGCGACGTGTAGCCTGGTGTTATCTGGGGGTACATGAGTCTGGGGAGGCCCAGGATTAGTGCTATACTTGGTGCGTCCCCCTGGGTGGCCCAGGGCTAGTGCAGGGGCCATGCCTCATGGGTCCCCTGACCATGCACAGGCACCAGCGGGAGAGCAGGTGGGCCCTGGGCCCTCCTCAGGTCTCAGCCTCCTGAGCCATGCGCGCACTACCAGCCAGACCTGGACCTTGGCGGTGGTGAAGACGTCCCCACCGTGCCTCACCTGCTCGCCCTGTGGCCTTGCAAACAAAACCAAACACCTCCCAGCCCCAGGTGCTGCCCCTTCCTGTTAACTTGCCGTGCCACTCTGTTTCGCGTTTATACTTTGGTAATTACGCTCTTTTTATAGACTCACTCTTTTATACATGGCGTGTGAATAGTTCTCCACTGTGTCCCCCGCAGTGCCCGTGGTCTCCCCTCGGTCCAGCACATTTTGTTTCTGTGTATGACTTCGTGGTTTTGAATCCAGATCTCTCCTCTGTAGTATTTTTTAAATAAATAAGTGTTTACAAAATGACTGGCAGGTTGCTCCGGTCCTTGTCCTCCCGGTCATTCCAAGCCATTGCCTGGGGGGATTCTGAGGTTCTGAGGGGCAAGGTCCAGTATCGGGGCACACTGGGCAGGGGAATGGTGGGCAGCTCCAAGGACATCTGTGCCCAGGGGCCCAGGACCAACCCGTGTCCCCGGACCACTTTGCAGTCTGCGCTGCTCTGCTCTCGGGCCCATCTTGTGTCCATGGAGTGCGCAGCTGTCCGGCTATCCTCAGTGGCCCTGAGCACAGCACTGCTGAAGGGAGGGAGGTGACATCCCATGTCCTCACTGGCTGCATGAACCCTTTCTGTCCCCACCCTTGGCCCCCAGAGCCCCCCTCCATGTGCCAGGTGTGTTTCTGGATATGCATGGGGGACAGAGACCAGGGGGACCACGCTGTTGTCCCTGAGGGTAGAAGGTGCCAGCTCCAGGTGACAGACAGTGTCAAAAGGGAAGCTCAAAGCACCTTTTTTTTTTTTTTTTTTTTTAAATTTTATTTATGTGTGTATATGTGTGTGGCCAGCTCAGCCCACCAGGGGGCGGGGCTGGCTGGCATGTGGTGCTGGGGGATTGAACCGCGGTCCCTGTGCTTTGCTAAGCTTGTTCTAAGTAGGTGCTTTAGACCACTGAGCCATCTCACCAGCCCTCAAAGCACCTTTGATCGGAGGGTGCAAATCCTCACCAGAGGGTGAAGCAGAGCACTCCGCACAGCCCTCTGGGAGGTCTTGGCAGGGCCCCCCAAGGATGGCCTTCAGGCCTGGCTGCAGAGTCCACCCTGGTCCTCACGGTGACCCCAACAGGCAACTCTGGGCACAGTTGCCCTGCGCACTTTCCCTGATGCCAAAGCAAGGAAGCTGGAGCTGTTGTCCTTGCTCTTCTGCCAGTAACGCGGCTTCCCTTGGGCTCCGCACTGTATCTGGGGACAGCTTTTCCCCTACATTGAGTGGACCACGTGCAGGTCCCCATGGCTGCCTGTCCACTGTGTAGGTGTGTTGTCACCCATGTTTTCCATATTTAGTGTCAAGGTCACTTGTGAGTCAGCTCCCATGGGTGAGACCTGTCACCTCACCCCCCAGATGAGGGCCCTGAGCCCTGTGTCCATCACCTGTTTGGTCTGGCTGATCCAAGCAGCAGCTCTTAACCTTTCCTGAGAGCTCACAGAGGCTCTTGAGAATATCACGGAAACTGGGGCTCCTGGCTCCAGGAGGTGCAGTCTGCACCCGCACCACAGCTCCAGGGACTCCGCACCCTACCCCAAAGGCCTGCGCTTCTTCCTGGCACAGAACACATTGCCCATAACCTCTCAGGCAGCATCCTACCCCACTGTCACTTTGAGCTCCACCCTGACAGCCCCAGCCACTGCTGGAGTCTGGAGTCTGTCCTGCAGCAGGGTCTGGGGCACATTAATGACGAGGCACCTCCCCTGTACTTGTGACAGCAGCTGCCCCAGGAGCATCTCAATGAATATTCCAGGCATATAGCAAAATACAAAAAAGTGCTTTCCATCCATGCAAACAGCAAAATGTTTAGATGCACCTATCTGCGAAAGCCCTTTCTGTGTCGGGGTGAAGCACAGCAAATAGCTGTGGGCCTCATTTGGGCACTGGGCTCAGAGAGCAGAGCAGCCAGGTGGGGCTGTGGCAGCAAGCCGGGTGCGCCTGGGCACTCCTACATGCACCTGATCCAGTCTCCAGAAGTGTGAGGTATGTTCAGAATGCATGGTGCGTGTTTCGAGGAGCTATTGCAGCAAAAGATACATCGCTGTGCTTCCCCCTCAAAATATTCCTCTTTGAACACACTGAACCCCTCGTCCTTGCCACTTTCTGCAGCAGCTCTGGAGTGCTCTTTCCTGAGGGTCTTTACGAGGTGTGATCTGCCGCTGAGCACCATCCAGCGGAAATGTAGGCTCATGAAGACGGTGGTGTCTGTCTCTCAACCAGACCTGGCACCCTGTGACTTCTGGTTCTTCCCCAAAGTTGAAGCACCCATGAAGGGGAAAGGCTTTCAGTCGATTCAGGACATTGAGGAAGCCAATACAGCACGACTAAAGACCCTCACAAAAGAGGACTGCAGAGGCGCTGCAGAAGGTGGCAAGAACTGTGGGATCAGTGTATTCAAAATAAGAGGAAGATTGTAGAAGCATACATCTTTTACTGGAATGTTTTTGCATTTTTGACATTCAGCATGGGTTTTTTTTGTTTTTGTTTTTGTTTTTGTTTTTTTAAGCAGATCTCATAAATGCTGTCTAGTCTTGTCTTCACCATCCTGAGGAGGGATCCCGGGTGCCAGGGTGGCAGGACAGGGCCCAGGACCTTGCTGCAGCCGTGGGGTAGACAGCAGGCAGGGCCTAAAGAGGAACTTTAGCCAAATGCAGCGGGAGCTGATTTAACAGACCAATGCCCTTTGCAGTCTTAGTGTTCTGATTTTCAGGGTTATTGAGCTCGAATGTACAAGCAAACTGGGAAGAATAGCTTTGTTGGGGTTTTTGTTAATGATGAAAGGGCCCTTTGTGGGCTCCCCCTCCTCACTCCTTGATCCCAGGCTTCTCCATCGAGGTTAATCTAGTCTTGCTAAATTAAAAACCTGCTCGTGCACACACACAGTGTGCAGCTAAGCAGGATGAGCCCGCTGGCCCTGCTCCACTTCCTCCAGGCTAGTGATTGTCCTGGCTAGTGACCGTGAGCAGGCATCTCTAAGAGCGAGGGAGCTGGCAAAGGGAGCTTAGCCGGGGAACCTGGCTCCGGGTGCCCCTACGCCTTGGCCCTTGGCTTTTGCTGTCTCACCCATGCGTGGGAAGGAGCTGAGGGAGAGCTTGGTCCAGCCGCCTACTGCCTTCGACTCAGAGGGTACTGAGCTCCCAGGGCGATCATGGAGCAAGGAAGCAGGGCCGTCCAGACACCCCAGGGGATGCCGCCTTAGCAGGCGCTCACAGGCTCCCTCTGCAGGAGCAGCCTGCACCCCCCCCCCCAGAGGACAAAGATGTGCCTCCAGGTGGGTACCCAGGTGTTCCCAGGTTGAGGGAGCACCATGGGGGGCACACCCTGGGGTCTCGGTGTTCTCCCTCCTCCTCCACCTGGCCACCCTCCCTTGCTCCCCAGCCATGGCTCCTGGGTGGCTCAGATCTGTCACCTTTAATGAAGTGGCTTTCTGGTTGCTGAGGATTGAGAGCTGCTACTGGGGAGCGTGAGTCACTAATAAAATGGGAAGTGAAATGCGGCGAGGTGCTGAGCTGGGCCCAGCCCAGTGTGGTTCTCAAAGGCTAATAAAAATCCGCCAGTTAATTGTGACAGCTCAATGGAAAATTATTCAATTGTGAACAGGGGTGAGTCAGCGCTCAAAAGGAGGAGGGGAGATGTTGCCATAGAAACATCAATGTAAATTCTCATCTCAGCGGTTGCAACTGGCCCGGGAGCGAGCGGCTATCTGACTGGCACGTCTGACACCGGATGGGGTGCCAGGGCTGAGGCAGCGGTTGAAGGGGCAGCTGTGCCCGGCCCCGGGTCTAGAGCCACTCCGGGGGGTACCAGCTTTCCCCGAGGTGGAGACGTGGTTTCCCTAATGCTCCTTATTCTGAGACAAGCATGGAAGGAGCAGTCAAGTGTAGGAAGAAAAACAGCCTGCGCCGTGTCTCCCGTACCTTTGACCAGCTGCCAATTAAGGTGTGCAGGCACAGACAACACGATTTCCGTCTCCCCAAAGCAGAGACACTCGGAGCTCAGGAAAAGGAAGTTTCCAGGGCCCAGAGGACCTGGAGGGAAGATGCCAACATCCTATTATGATTTTGCAGTTGCTACAACTTTTATTCCAAAAGATACACACAACACATTCATACTGGGAACATTTGAAATGCAACCTTGCTGGAGCAAAATCCTACTCCTCCTTAGCTCGTCTCCCGGGAGCCCTGGGCTCGGCAAGCACCACTCTCACTACCCAGCGGCTGCCCGCGTTAGGACGGGCAGCAGGCGGCCCTGGGGGCAGCTCAGCGCCCCAGCAGTCTTCTTGCCAGAGGGGTCTGGTGTTAATGGGATGGAGAACGAGGCGGGTTGTTTACTGCCTTGGCTTCTTTTTGCTTTCGACTCTCAGAAGCGTGCTGTGCACTGAACGCCCTCCTCTGCCGTTGCGCTTTGGCTGTTAGCTGCAGAAGTCCCGTGGCCCGTCTCAGCTTGGATGGCCCGCTGTGCTGCTGGCCCAGTCCCCCTGCCCGCACCTGCATCCTGCACAGCCCGCTCTGCCAGGCCCTGTGCATGCTCCCACCGTTGGGTGGCCATGTGTGCTGGCCCTTGGGTGACACACAGGTGACAAGGCCAGGCTGGCTTCGTTGTCTGCACCCCCACACAGCTTGCTCTTACTTCTTTTTCAACACCAGCCAGTTGTTTTTTTCTTTGTTTTTGTTTTTTTTTTGCTTCAGCAAAGTTGGAAATCAAGAGACAGTACACACCTGACATCCTACAGCTAGTGCTTTGTGATAATGCCGGTCACCTCTGCGGCTCCTCAGCTCCTTGGAGGCTGGGGGTTGGGGGTCAAGAGTCCATGCAGGCAGACCCTCCGGGGTGCACTGGCTGTCACCCACGGCCAAAACGGAAGCTGAAGCCGCCTTTCTTCCTACTGTAGCCGTTGAGCTCCTCCGCCAGGTTCCCCAGGGGGCCTGTAGCCTTCTCATTGCCATCTGCTGGCAGGAAGCCGGTGGCCTTGCTGCCCTCCTGCCTCCCAAGGCGGAGGCTTGTGTGCCTGCTGCCCAAGGCCTGCACATTCCTGGCCACAAGGAGCAGGGCCTGGGGCTGCGGAGCCCCCACCCTCCAGGTGGAGCCCCACGCAGAGTGGGTGCCATGCCCCTTGACCAGGTGGGCCCCGCTGCTCCCCGCTCCAGTGCCTCCCACGGAGTCCGGTGGCTCTCTCAGGTCAAGCAGGGGCAAGCAGGCGCCAATCGGAAGGAGGAGGAGGAGGTAGGGCAGGGAGGAAGGGCCCCTCATCTGGCCAGAGGAAAGAGAGAGGGAGTTACAGGACATGTGTGCGGCCAACAGGACTTCCAGGGCCTGGGCCGCCATGGAAGGACAAGCACTGGACCCCGCTTTTAAGTAGCTTAGGGGGCAGCCTGATTTCTCCAGCAGGCTTAGGAGTTGACTGCCAACGAGGATGGCTCTTGCCCTGCTACCCTCCTGATCCAACCATCTTGGTCACTTAGCCCTGCAAAACCAAAGCTGCCGGAGTGGCCCAGTGACCACGGGAGGGCAGTGTGAATTGAGGTTCCCTTTTCCTCTTACTGTAATTATTGACTCTCAGGCGGTATCACCTCAGAGCCTCTCCTGAGGAAGAGAAGAAGTGTCGGTCTCTTTCCCACTTGGTAATGAGCAGCTCAGCTAAGCTGGTTAGCAGGGAGATGGGCTGATCATTTGGTGGCCCTGGCCTAACTCACAACAACCCAGACATCTGGGGAGAAGCAAATGGGAGGTGGCCAATGCCCCTGGCACAGCGTGTGTGTCAGGCTCTGAACAACAGGCTTCCCGCGCAGGCTCTGTGTCCCCTTCGAAGAAAATCCCGTCCACAGTTACCGCCATTCCCACCTTCCAGGCAAGACATTACCAGGAAGGGCGGGAGCTTCTCCCAGGCCCCCAGCTAGAAAGAGACCTGGACTCGGGACTCTAACCACTGCCTGGCTTCTTGGCTGGCCAGGCCCGCAGACGCGTCCCTGAGCTGGCACCACCCTCCAGCTCATCAGGATCAGGCAGGCAAGAGAGGCCCGGACCTTGTCTGCCCAGGGTGCCAGCGGCACAGAGCGACCACAGCTACCTGTTTCCTCGAGATCCCCTGGCTTAATGAGGGGCGGAACTCGGTCAAGGCCAGATCCGTCTGAGCTAGACTCACCTCCTCAGATTTGTTGCTCTGCGCCTTGTGTGACAGCCTGGGGGAATCTAAACATAAAGCTCCCCAGAATGCCCTGCTGTGGCCAAAACAGTTCCCATCCTTTGCACAGGCAGCCTGTTAAGTAGTGACCTTGGGGGAGGCACACTGGCTCGGCCTTAAGGAGTCCCCCCAAAGCTGGGATGGAGAAAAAGGGCTCTACTCAGAAACTGCCCAGAGCTCTTTTCAGAAAGGCTCACTTGAAAACATTTCAAGGAAGAGAACTCAGGCAGAAGCTTCAAAAAATAATAAAGCCATCTGCTCTCTCCTGAATCCACCTCTCCTGAGTGCACCTCTTCCCGGGCTGCAGCAGCACCAGGGTCCCCTCTGTGCGGGGTGAGCGGCGGCTTCCTTAGGAGACAAGCCTGTCTTAGGAAATGCGTGCAGGGATGCAGCTGGGATGAATACACTGTGGTGGCCTCCGGGTCCCTTGGAAGGTTGTGTCTTGACACGGGACAGAAAGTGGCTCGTCTTCCTGTAGGGGACTGTGGACTCTTTCAGGAATCTGGTGTGAGCTTGGGACATTGCCCATTAAGCACGGGACCCCAGTGTGCAGGAAGCAGTCGGGACAGCACAGGGTAGAAAGGGAGCCGGGCCCTGGCAGGTAGCTGTGGTCGCTCCGTGCCGCTGGCACGCTGGGCAGACAAGGTCCAGGGCCTCTCATCTCTGGCCTTGCCTGTGTGTGGCTCCGGGGACCCTCTGCATGCAGGGCCCAACCTGAGCACCTGCTGGAGATGGGGAGGACTCACTGTGTGGCCAATGGACTCCAGAGGACAGGTGGATGCCTGGGCCGGGTTCTGCACCAGCTGGAGCTCCTCCGCTCCTCGCTCCTCGTGTGTCTGGGAGGTGTGGCTCCTGGCTGCTCCTCCTTTTATATAGGCTCTGGGTGTCCTGGACCCGCCACTGATTGATTGCTGCACATTCCTAACCCTGGGATCCCTTTGGGGACATTGGTGGTGACGGAGGGGGCAGTACTGGCTGCACAATAGGACCCAACACAAACAGGATGTGGTCTGAAGAGAGGGCAGACACTGCCCTTTGGAGGATGGCGGTGTCATTAGCCACAAAATGTGAGCACAAGTCCTCAGGTCCCTAGGCGGAGACACGGAGGTCCATTAATGGCCCAACAGACTCGCCTTTGTCTGGTTGGCCTTGTTCCCCAGAGAGGATGTGGGGTGGGTGGACATCTACACCTGGCCACTGATGGCCCAGCTGCCCTGGCAGGACTGCTCCCGGGAGCTGGGAAGTCAGAGGTGTCTGCTAAGCCAGTGACTGCCGGTCCCCTTCACAGGAAGACGGGAGGCTGCACCCCATCTGCTCCAGAGTCCCTGGAGAGGCTGAGTCAGGCAGGGGAGGCCTGGCTTCTAAGAGAGGGCCTGGGAGCTGCTCCCAGCACCTTAGTGGGCTGTCCCTTAGACAGCATGATCTGCCTTTTCAGCCACCAAGCGCAGCCTGATGCCCACTGGGCTGTGGGCGCTGTGCCCTCCAAGATACCCCTGAGAATGACCATATCCACTCTGCGGCTGCAGCGCTGGGCCCCCAGCAAGCATGCTAGCTGGCATGAAACTGGCAAGGGCATGATATGGGTGACAAGGTCCTGAACGCCCGCTCCTCCCAGGCCCACACTTGCAGAGGGGAGCACTGCAGGTGTGTGGGTTAGGGACAGAGGTGGAGCCGGGCTTCAGGAGCCGTGGTTGGCAATGCAAGCATGATGCCGGGTGAACAGAGCCCAACGGGTGACAGCCCACCCCTGCTCTCCCCTCCTGGAACCAGCCAGGCTCCAAGAAGCAGTCACAGGAAGCCCCATGGTTGGCTGCAGGTTTAGGGTTAGGGCAAACTTTGGGGGGTATAGCACACAGCCCCACGTAACCTATTCTTTAGCCTGGCCATGGGCCTGCACCTGCCCCACTCTGCCTCTGCTCAGAGGAGCCCAGAGCCACGTCAGGTGCTGGACTGAGTGACGAATGTCTGGACTCTGAGCTCAGCCCACGTCCAAAAGAGACTGCTTTCCACTGTTCTTCAGGCATCCGGGCATCTTACCCCTCCAGCATCCGGGCTCTACCTGCTCTGGAGCCGCCGGGGTGGGGGGTGGTGACAGCCAGGGTGGCAGTCATAGTTGCCATGTAGAGGTAAATGCAGGCTCACAGTGTGAGGGCAGGGCTGAGCGGCACAGGAAGCTGTGTGGGCAGGAGTTAGCACAGATCCGTTCTGAGGAAGCCACCCTAGGGTGTCCACGAGGACTCCCAGATTCCTGTCCTTGGTTCTCAGGTGTGGAAGCTGAGCCTCAGTGTGGGACAGACTGGGTGACAGTGGGCTGGGCTACTGGGCCAAGCCACACCTGCCCCGTTTGGCTACATGAACCCCAGCATGGGGAGCATGCCAGGCAAGGTCACCAGCCAGTTGCTTCCAGGGGCATCCCCATCCCTGATTCCTCCAGCCGTGTCCCAGGGGGAGCTGTCCCAGCCAGCAGCACAGGGGCCATGTGGGGGAACACTGCAGGGAGAGAGCCAAGAGGGAGTTCTGGGAACCCAGACCTGGGGGGCGAGGACACCTCTCCAGTGGCCTCTGTGGGCTCCTCCCCGGCCCCTCCAGCTCAGATGCTCGGAAGCACGCATTCTGGTAAATGAACCCCAGGCTTTGTTTTACGGTAAGCCTCCCATTGGTTTCATGAATAGCCATTAGGCACCATTAGTTCCTGATAGAGCTGCCTGCGCCCCAGCCCCAGGAGAGACCCAGAGGGATGGTTTAGCACCCTGGGGACACAGGTGGGGCAGGCCCAGGTTCCCCCAAATCCCAGCCCTGAGAGGGGGTTGGCCTGAGACCAGGAGCTGGACCAGGGCAGCCACTTCGCCCCTGCTGCCTGGCTCCTGCTCCTCTGACCTTCAAGGTCTATAGAAGCAAGCCCCAGACCCTGGAAAAAGTGTCACCTGTGAAGTAGGACAATGAGCTGGGCTGGAGATGAGGCTGGAGCTGGGTCACCACGAAACTTTATTGGAGACAGGAACACACAGGACACCAAGTGCACACAGCCCCAGCAGATAACCGTCCCACCCTGTGCCCCCTCCGGCCTCAGCCCTCCCCAGCCCCAGGACCCCAAGCCCCAGCCGTCACCAGGCACACTGAGGCTGCTGTGACCCCTCTGCCCTCATGCTCTGGTCCCAGGGGCCAGACCTCCATCCTCCTCTACAGACAGATGGGGTAGCAGGCCTGGGGTGCCCCAGCTGCTTGGCTCGGAGCCCACCGTCCTGTCTCCTGTGGGAGCAGGGTTCCACAAGTCCCTGCCAACACACTGGGAGGGGGTTCCACACCTGCTCCTCCAGCCACAGCGCAGGACCCGTGGCTGGCAGCAGGCCCTCGCGTGTCCTCACGGCCCCTCTTCCTCCCTCTGCCTGGGAGCCTGCGAGCCCTGGCTTCGCACATGCGGGCCGGCAGTTCATTCACATTGCTTGGCCAGATCACTAATCCTCCAAATCTCTGCCTGACACAAGATGTGCTTTCAAGAAAATGGAGCTCCAGCCCCCCAAAACCCCGTGGATGAGGGTGGATGCCAGGAGGATGCGTATGGTGCCAGCAAAGTCACTGCTGCCCTGAGGACATGTATAGGAAACCCTACTTACATGCAGCCGGGGTTCAGGTGATGCGGGGGGAGATGGCTCTCAGTGCTGTCCCTGATCCTTGCTGACAGCACCAAGGCCACCAGGGAAGAAATCCAGGTTCCTTCTTGCCTCAGAGTGTTGAGGGCTCAGGAGGACACAGGGGGTGGCCTTGGCTGAAGTCCCAGAGGTTTAACTAACATTTAGGGTCCAGGAATGAGGTCCCTGGCTGCCCACGTGGGGTGGGATCATCCCGCCAAGACCCGGGGTTAAGGATAAAGGAGACCTCTCTTCTCCTCAACTTGCTTTCCTCACCAGGGGAAAAGAAAGGAAGCTCAGTAGGTGACATCATGGGACACAGGGATGCCACCACCTCACATCCACTTGGGACTGGAATCTAGTGACCTCTAAGGACACCAGCCCCTGGCTGGGCATGAATCTCTCAGGTCTTGGTGTGTCTGCCCAGCGTCCCCTACTTCCTGTGGCCACTCCCATCTCAGGTGGCGGCCAGGTGCACTGACTTCAGTTCCAGGGCTCCCCAAGGCCCAGGCAGTGTGCGGAGCTTTGAAGCGGGCCCAGGAGGAAGCCAAGGGTGGGGTGGCTGGGTGGGCTCTGCGCTCACCTCAGGCTTTGTGTCCATCTGGCCAGTGCCTGGCTGGGCTGCGTCCCCTTGCAGTGCCTGCCCTGGCCGTGGGCATGCTACTAACCTGGACCTCGGGCTCCTCAAGCCACCCTCACCTGTCTGTCTGTCTGTCCTTCACCCTGTGCCCCGCTGGGCAACGCTCCAGCATATCTGCCTGGCACAGGGGCCCCAGCCTCCTGCCAGCCACAGGCATCTGCAACTCGTAACATCAAGCCGCAGGAGTTCGCTTGATGGCACATCAGAGGGGCTTGGCGGGGCTAAACTGGCTGGCACGCAGAGCTGCGCAGGCGCTGGCTCCAGCCCGCAGTGGATGGCATCTCCTTTATCTCACCTCTTCCCGTCCCTGGGTTTCTCCTTGGCACCCCCCTGGTCACGCTAGCCTGGAGTCAGCTGCTGTGAACCCCTCTGCCCTGAGCTGGGCGCCGCACAGGCCGCAGCCAGTCTGGAGCCACACTCGGAAAGTGCAGGGGCAGCTGGGCAGCTGGGCCTTTCAGGAAAAGGACACCCACTTCCCACCCCCTGGCCTCCAGCGCGTGCTCCTGCCCAAGGACCTGTCCAGGCCCCAGGCAGGCAGCCAGGCCTCCTCAAAGAACCCTTCAGGTCCCCATAGGTGGGAATTACCAAAAGTAGCCCTGCTCATCCTGCGGCAAACACACGGGCGCCCAGCTCGGAGCAGGCAGCCGAGTGGCCTGTGGTCCAGGGAAGCAAGAGTGTTGGAGGCGTTGGGAGGATTTCGTGGGAAAATGTCTGGGCAGTGTTGGCCCAGGGCTTCAGTCTCCCCATTTCCCTCAGGTTCAGGCAGGCTGAGCCCAAAGGGGCAGTGCCCACCGCTGCCGGCAGGGGGCAGCACTCTGCAGATGACCTGGCCTGGTAGGGGGACGTGCGGGGTGGGGGTGGGGGGTTGCGCTCCCAGCTCCCAGGCGGCCTTTGGAGCCTGAGGTCAGGGAAGTTGGTGGGGGTGGGGGTGGATAGGGAAGCGGGCGTCAGCCCCAGAGCCTGTCGCCGCTGCCCAGACCCTGGTGCTGGCTCCACACAGACCCCAGAGGCTAGAGAAGCAGGGTGGGCAAGAGGGGGTGGAGCTAGGCCGGACCCAGGTTGGAGCTCATTGCTTCCTGGGCACGCAGCCAAGGGGACAGCACGGGCCCGGGCGCTGCCGGAGAGCGGCTGAGCCATGCACAGGCGGACGGTGTCCTCCCGGCAGCGGGCACGGGGTGTGGGTATGGGGGCGGGGGCGCCAGTCGCGCGCGGCCGGGGCGCGGGCTGGACGGCGCCAGTCTAGCGGTCCTCTCGGATGGGCCGGATCTTCATCTCGGAGAACTTGAGCGAGTACTGCCAGCCGGTCCAAGAGGACCATTCGACGCCGTCGGCGTAGGAGGCATGCGCGCCGCGCAGGTACTGCCCATTCAGGTTGGACGTATGGCAGTTGCGGTACCACCAGGCACCGCGGTAGAAGGCGGCACAGTTGTTATCCGAGTGGTCGCTGTCGCGGTCCTTGGTGGTGAACCTCATGCCGCTGTGCTTCAGGAGGGAGTCACCTGCGTGGGGTGCAGGGAGGTGAGGAGAGGGTGCGCATACGCAGGCCAAGCGAGCCTGAGCGTGCACCCCTCTACCTCTCCTCCCTGCCTGGCTTCCACTTCTGGGCTCTGTTCCCTCATCTGCGAGGTGAGCACAGGATCCTGGCTGCGCTGGCGTTGCATGGTAGGGCGAGGACAAGTGGGACAGGAGGTGAGGACCGTCCTGACCCTGGGCCACAGAACTCAACTTGGCAGGACCCCCATGCCATGTGCCATACCTGCGGTGCCCGAGTACTCGGCCACAGTGAGCGGGTACCCGTCCTCCTCGGGGTCCACCGAGAACAAGCCCACCCCGAAACTCCCGTAGCGCGCGAAGGCCGTGCCATTGTCGAAGTCTTCCAGATCCACGTGCAGCTCGTAGGTGGCCTGCGTGGTCAGCGCATGGATCCTCTTGAGCCCTGGAGCGAGGGAGAGGATGTCAGGAGAAGTGGGGGCAGAGGAGGCAATACCCAGAAAGAACAGAGGGAAATGACAGCTGAGAGCATGTGGTGGCGACCCACTGTGACAGTCGAGAGTGTGCTGTCCGCCTCAGGCCACTTTTTATTTTCTGCAGATAGGTGTTTCTTTTTTTCTTCTCTTTTTTTCTTTTTCTTTTCTTTTCTTTTTTTTTTCAGAACTGGGGATTGAACTCAGGCCCTTGTGCTTGCCAGGGAAGCGCTTATTCCACTGAGCCATCTCCCTGGCCCCTAGATCCGCATTTGGCAGGAAGCTGGAGACATTTTCCCTGTTTGGTTTTCTGTTTAAGTCGGAGCCTTACTTTCCAAATGCCAGGATTTGAGCTGGCGGCTGGTGGAAAGATTGTGGGAGCTGGGGAAATAGTGGGGAGTGTGGGGCTGGATCTGGTACTTGCTTCTCACCCTGGGCTCTGAGCCTTGCCCCTGCTGGTCCTAAACAGTCCTAGCCCAGTCACCTTCATGGTCTTGGCCCTCTCTGACAACCCAAATGGCCCTGCAAGGGCTCATAACCCCAGGTCTCAGCCACTTGTCCTCTTGTTTTTCCTGACCCGGCCACTCCCAGTGTACAGAAGTGGAATGAGGTGCCCACAGCTCCTGCTGTCCCCAGGACTGGCTCTGCCCCTCGCCCACGCCCCGCATGCCTCCCTGCCTCTGCCCCTCCCTTCGGAGCCTCTCCTTGTCACACGTGCTGGCTCTGCTCCCCTGCCTCGGTGATTAGTTCCCGATTAAGAAGGCATTTAATTAAACGCCTCAGGTTAGCAACAGCAGTGACATTTCATCAACCTCTTCCCCTGCCTGCCTTGTGCCAGCCCCCAGGGGCCAGAGCATGCACCGGTATAGGAAGGCAGGACAGCCCCCCCCATTCAGGGACAGTGGCTCTTCTTTCTGGGCCACGGCCCACAGAAGCAGAAGCAGCGGTAGGAAGCGCAAGGACAACGGCCATAGGGACCTCAGCCAGCACCCCTGCCTCAGTCCCCAGCCCTCCACCTTTGAGGACCAGGGGAGTGCAATCTTCCGGGTCCCCACCTCTGAGCCCCCTGGAAGTTGCTCCCCATCTCTGAGACCCTGCACACCAGCTGAGCGACCTCCCAGGGCAGCACTGGGCCGAGGCTCACGGTGAGCCGCTGCCGATGGTCCCAGCACCTGCACGGCCCTAGCCACAGCACCTGCAGCCACTCACACATCCAGGTGTTCGCAGGTGCTGTCATCATTCCTGTCACCGTGAGGATGACAAGAGGCCCAGGGAGGGCATGGAACTGGCCTGGTGGCCCAGCTATTCAGCAGAGGAGCTATTTAGCTGATCTGAACCCAGGCTCCTAGCTGGACCTTGCTGGACAAATCTCATGATCTGGGGAGAAGCCAAGAGGGAGACGAGTCCCTCTTGGACACTGCAGAGTTGCTGGTACCTGAAGACCACCCAGGAGTGCCCTGCTGCTCCCTTAGCCATGCTGGGCTCGGGTGCTCCCTCCCGGGATGTGGGGTCCCTGCCTATCCCACAGTGGGTGACCCTTCCTCTCACTCCTTCCACCCTGGCTCTCTGGAGGGGGGCCAGGACTGTGCCAGCCCTGGGGACTGCTCGGCGCAGCTCGTTGTCCCTCCAAGTACAAGTTACAGGGGGCGGGGGACAAGGAGGTGTCAAGGACCCCTGCCGCACCCCTTCCTCACACAGTCAGTGAACTTGCAGGTAGATCCAAGAGCTCGACCCGAAACAGTACGAGGTTAAAGGCCAAGAAAACACCCAGAGGCACTTGTGTTTAAAACTCAGAGCTGAGGAAGGAAACAGCTAGTAGAAAGGACTACATAAAAATTTAAAACTTGTGGGAAGTAGCAATACTGGAAGACAAATGACTAGGAGTCATGTATCCCAGGCATTGACCCAAGGATCCATAACCTTAATATATAAAGAGCTCCCATAATTCAATAGGAAAAGACAAAAGCCTTGTGAGAAGGCAGCAGGCACAGGAAGTGAGGGGGCCCCGGCCTGGAGTTGGCATTCTCGTCAGGGCCCAGCGTCTGCGGAGCTAAGCACTGCCTGCATGAGAGCTTCTTAGCACCTTCGGCCGCTGCAGATAGATTTCAATTAAGATGTGGCGTCCAGCAGCAGGGGCACTGGGCTGCGATGAGCAGGTGGGTGGCCACACACAGCCCTGGTCCCCACCTAGCCGCTTTCTCCTCCCTCAGCGCCACCCAGGGAAGGGGCTCCCAGCTGGGGTCTCCCCATCCGGCCCCTCCAGGGGCTCCTGTTCCCAACCCAAAAACCCTGCAGGGATCCCACCCAGCCCAACACATGCTTGTGACAGCTGCCACCCTCTGAGGTGGGCCTGAGGCTTCAGGGACAGATGTCTGCAGGGTGCAGGGCCTGGTGCTCAGCAGGTGCACGGGGAGGGGTGGGTACACAGAAACACCTCTCCCTCCTGCAGGCCAGGAAAGGGGAGCCCCGCCCTCCCAGAAGTCAGGCAGGGGCAGCGGGATGTTAATGACAGCATGGAGCCCCAGAAGCCCCTGTGCCCCCCGGGGAGTGAGCGCTATGCCCCTGCACCCTGCCCCTGGGGCTCATGGCCCCACTGGAGTCCTGGCAGACCTGGGACCTCACCGGGCACCATGCCTGGCTCTCAGCCCTGCAGGAGGTGACTATGCCACAGGGTCCCAACTTTCCAGACACCCACAAGGGAGAAACACCCCAGGGTGTGCAGGGACAGCGAGTGACAGATTCACTGCAAAAGACATGTGTAAATGGAGCAACTGCTGGGACACAGTTGTGGACAGGGATTATGCCCAGGACAGGCCTGCACCCTCCAGGCTTCTGTGCCCATTGGGACCCCCAGGGCCCTGGCTGGTAAGCACTGATGGAGGTGCGTGCTGGGGCCGGCAGAGGAGGCAGTGATTCTGACCAGAGGCCAGCCACAGAGGTGGCCAGGTTGAGCGCAGGGACAGATGCGGGGAATGTGGCTCTTTTTTCTTTTTCTTTTCATTTTATGAATTGGTGCAGAGCCTTACTACGCAGCTTGGACTCATAGTGATCCTCCTGTTTTCAGCCTCCCCAGTGCTGGGATTACAGGCATGTGCCACCACACCCGGTCTCATTTGCCAGTTCAGCATGCCCAGGGACGGGGCCAGGCAAGGAATGTGGGACTGGGGATCGAACCCTGGTTCCTACGCTTCCCAAAGCAGGAGCTTAGTCCACTGAGCTATCTAGCCAGTCCAAGAACATGGCTTTTTCCAGGTGAAAATTGTTCTGGAATTAGAGGCGATGGCTGCCAGGCTCTGAGACTCTGAGAATGAGCTGAACCCTCCCCCTGGAGGGTCACTGCACTGTCCACCCAACGGAGCAAAACCAAACCTCAGGCCACAGCTGCCTCCTGAACATGTCCACACGGGACCCTGAGCTTGGGAGTTCTGCGGCTGTTACTGAGTAGAATGAAATGGGATAAGACATTCAATGCCAAGACACTGAGTGAATCTACAGGGGAACACCAAGCAATGACAGCATTGGCAGGACCTTCGCAGGCCCTCGCGGTGCAGCCCGGGCTGCGTCCCTGCTGGGGGAGGACGTGAGCACCTGCTGCTCTCTACGGGCCCGGCAGCCATGCTGACCCTGAGAGCAGACCGGGCAGACCATGAGGCACTGCCTGCGCCTGCTGTGGCCTGAGGTCCACGGCAGCGACAGGCCCCAGACGCCCCATGAGGCAGCACACACCCACATCCTCCAGGCCCGCACGCTGGTCCCATCCTCATGGCCTTGCGTTTGGTATGACCAGTCACCTTCGCACGTGCCCGCTGGTGTGTGAGGCCAGGGAACCTGGGCGCCATCTGCTCAGGGAGGCCCGGGGTATGGAGTAGGACTCTCACCTAGCCAGTGCTCCCCCGTGAGTTTGCCGAAGCCCTCTCGGTATGCGTCCCAGCCTCGGAAGAAGTTTACAGAGCCATCTTCACGGCGCTGGAACACCTGTGGGGACGGAAGAGGGGGAGCTGGTGTCCACCGCGCACCCCAGGACCCCAGGTCCTCGTGGGCCTGCACCACTCCGAGGACTCCCTCACCCCCTCCTGACCCCCAGCTCTGGGACAGCAGGCTTGGCCTCATCCCCTTCCGTGGCTCCCAGCCCTGGTTCTTGAAGGGCGCAGTGGCCAGGGCGGGACCAGGTGACCAGCCACAGCTTCTTGCAATGCTCCACCTCTTAGGACCCCCAGGGCACCTCTGCTGCCCGCTGTAGGTGGCCAGGCCCTTCTTTGCCCTGGGCCTTGGTTTTCCCAGTGATGAAGAAAGTAGAAAGAGCCTTGGTATAATTTTCCAGGTCAAAATGAAATAGAACAAAACCTGTTACTGAGGGTTGTCTTTTGCTCTGTGTGTGTGTGTGTGTGTGTGTGTGTGTGTGTGTGTGGCTGGGTCTTTGCACCCAACTGCATTCCCAACCCTTTTTATTTTTTTGAGAATGGTCCTGCTAAACTGCTGTGCCGCTCAGGCCCGGCACAAACAGGGGAGCCCCCTGCCTCCACCTCCCAGAGTGCTGGGGTTACTCTGCACCGCCAGGCCTGACCCCATTCTCAAGTTTCTAAACGGCCAGCCCTGCTGAGGCTTGACCTCCAGAGCCCCAGCTCAGATAGTTCCAGGGTGTCACTGGGGAGCCCTAAGTCTAAGCCGCTTCGCAGGGGAGGATGGGACGTCCACTACGGGCTGGGGTGTCACTTGGGTACGAGTGAGCCAGCCAGCTGCTCCTTGTCTTAATAACACTCCTGGTTTGGGAGCCTGGAATCCCATCGGTTAAATTGCTTTGAAATAAGGCCCTCGCTGGCTGGCCCCGCTGACAGCCTCGAGGCCCCGCCTCCGCTCCCCTCTGTCCACCCCTCTGTTTAAGCAGCCGCTCCGGCTCCCCCTCCCCCTCCGCCTAGCCGCGTCCATCTGGGGAGAGCTCCGGCCTCGGCGGCCCACGAGCTGCCACTGTCATTACTAAGCAGCTCGGTTTCAGTGGCTCAGAACCGCGGGTGTTGGTGGTGTGCGCTGGCCAGATGTGCCGCGTCTTTGGGGACACATCGGTCATGGACCTCTGGGCAGCTCTGACGTCACGGAGCTGGGCTGGGCAGATGACACCTTGCTTTCCCTGCTCTGCTGGCCCAGCCTGAAATTTCAAAGTCCTCAGGAGGGACGGCCTGGGCGAAGGAAATTCGATCAGTCTCGCGGAGATCTAAGAGGCGGTGCAGGGAGTCTATTGACAGCCGCAGATTGGGACCCTGAGCACGCAGCTCCGCTTGCGAAGGCCTAATCCTGGCAGTGCGGGCTCCCGCGAGAGGGTGTCAGGCTGCGTGGAGAGGCCGAGGGCTGCCAGGGCTGGAGCCCCCGGCGCAGCTTGACATTGGAGGCTGCGGCCCTGCCCTGGGGTCGTCAGCTGCCGGTGCATCGGGGTTCTGGGCTCCTAATGAGGAGTCACTCCACCTCTCAGAGCCTCAGCATCCTCATCTGTAAAATGGAATCAGGATAAGACCTTCCTGTGGGCTCTGACAACCCAGTGAGCCCAGCTAGGGGTGTGTAGGTGCCCAGGAAATGCCAGCTTCACTGCCCAGGCCGGGCTCCATCTGTGGTCCTCCTGCCCCAGCCTCCCAGAGTGCAGGGATGCAAGCGCGTGCTGTCCTGTCCAGCCAGTTTGGAGTCTCTTTCATTCTTGCAAAGGTTCCACAGAGCTTCTCAGTACCAGGTGTTGGCTGGGGAAACTGCACCAGGAGGCACAAGGTCAAGATCCTTCCTGTGGCGGTGCTCTGGGCCAGGCAGGAAGCAATGTGGCCATTCATCCTTGAAGGCTTTCTCCCCGACCCAGGGAAAAGCCTGGCTTCCGGGGACCTTGGTGGGAGTGCGCCAGGCTCATTTCCAGCAGCCGTCTGGTGTCTGTCCTGCCGCTGTGACTGCTGCTGCTAAGGTGAAGGGGGCAGGCAAGGCATGAACCCCAGAAATCAACCCATGCCAGGCAGGGAGCCCCACTGTGAGTGTGAAGTGGGACAGGAGGGGTCAGCACTGCCACCCCAGCAGGGTTGCGACCAGGGGCACCCAGAAGGGCACCTCCAGGAAGGCTTAGAGGGGATGCGCAGTTTTCCAGAGTTCATCCAGGGCCAAATCTCTGGAGCCTCGGCTTTCAGCCCAGAGCCCAGGGCTCCAGAGCCAAGATCCATCTCTCCCTCAGCCACCAGCCACTTCTGTGGCTGCCCTTCCAGCTAGGTTCTCCTCACTGGAATCGCCCCATCCCCACCCCACTCCCATGTCCCCAGGGTCCACCCAGGTTCTGCTTAATGATAGCAGCCACATTCCGGGGCCTTCTGGTCCCCTGCTTTTCACCATCACCCAGGAAAGGATGCTGACATGGTGACAGTCCTGCATGATAGGTTCAGCCCCTAGTATGAATTGTTAAAATCACTATGGTGGTCATCTAATATGGCTGATGCCTTTAAAACAAAGGACCAAGGGGTCAGGGAGATGGCTCAGTGGAATAAGCACTTCCTTGGTAAGCGCAAGGGCCTGAGTTCAATCCCTGGTTCCACCACAAAAAAAAAAAAAGGAAATATACTTTAGGGGCTGGTGAGATGGCTCCGTGGTCTAAAGCACCTACTTGGAACAAGCTTAGCAAAGCACAGGGACCGCGGATCAATCCCCCAGCACCACATGCCAGCCAGCCCCGCCCCCTGGTGGGCTGAGC